GGTTGACCTGCCATTTTTGAAAAATGGTAAATCTTTTTATATATACTAGATTTGCTCACGCCGTGCACACACGACGGTCTAACACTCCGTGTAAAACTACAGTAAAAATTTTTCATAAGTTGTTGTAGCTTCGTATGTTACAGTTGTTCACATATATTGAGTCTTTTTTATTTTTAGTGGAAAACACATCATTTATTCATACCAATCTGCTCCTATTGCTACATAGGCACTTTCTTACCTCGAGTCTCCAGTTTCCTATCTCAGTTGGTCAGAACATCAGATGAAGCCCACTTCGAAAGAGGGTACTGGTAATTATTGATTCATTTAAGAATCTTGAAAGGATGTTGTAGCAATTTTGCCGTGTCTTTTTAATTGTTCATTAAGATGAAGAGGCAAGAAAAAAAAATAACACAGAGAACAAGCAAATAGAAGCAATTCATTTAACATATATTGCACAAAACATTAATAATCAAGATTTTTTCAAACAAGGAAAAACAAAAGGAACAAACCAAAATATACCTTAGAAGATGGAACAAACCTATTACTATTAGCATATAAGAGATATTACATAATATGATGCAATGTTTCTTGTGAAATGATACAATATATACAAAATTATTCACAACAAATCCAAACTTCTTACTCTTGATGATTGACGCTAAAACTGTAACAACCAATAATCACATGATTTCAGCACTTCGGATTAAAATTCCAACAACAAACACGACCAGAAAAATGACCAGTAATTTAATTTGGAGATCCGCTGAAACAACAAACCGACAACTCTAAAATGACTTAATAGTAAAAAAAATACAACACCATATAGTTCATATCCCTCAAGGAAAAAAAACAACAAAAAAAGAATCCAAAAAGACAGTCAAATGAAATTAACATGATTATTCTTACAGGGCTCATCAAGACACGATGTCGTTTTTGGTAGAGCATATTAATACCAGCTATAATTAAATCTAATGTTGCACTAACCAGTTATATCTATAAAAGACATATATTTACCATAGATTATTAAAGTATAGTCTTCTTTAGTGAATTATTTACGCTCCATTCTAGAAGCTCGCAAGATAGACCTGCATTCCCAAAACATTAAAGCATACAAATAATAGTAACTATATTAAAATGAAGAGTTTAAACAAAATGAAATCCAGATGAACCACCTGATACGATTCGTGCTTGTTCTGTAAAATAACTTGGGGACACCATTTTGATAAAATATATCTACCAAAGAATCATAATAAATGCTATGGAAAACTGTAAAAAAAAAACCATTAAATGTAATTTTTTAAAAAGAAACAATAAAAGAAGAGCATCTGCTTTACACGCAAAAAATGTTTAGCTAACAGTTACCCATCTCCCACATGAAAACTTTCTGAGATATGTTTTTCAAATCACCACAGATCTGTTAGCTGAAGCTCAACTGCGAATTTACTGAAATGCAACTAATATGTTCCTAGCAGCTCGCACGATTAACCATAATCCAAAAAAAATGTAAGCTAGTAATATATATATATATATATATATATATGTATATATATATTTTTTTAAAAAAAAACTATGATTATCAATAAACAGACCTTTGAAAAAATATGAGCACGCATCCAAAACACAAGGCACATTTACTTTCTCGAGTATGTTTGGAATGCAATTCTCCTAAAGATCAAACCCCAAATCGTGAGCTGTAAAAATACATACATAGAAGCTATAAGCGTATAATTCCTAAAGCAAGTGTATTCTACAACTTCCATTCTGAAAAGAAGACGCAAGAAAGCCATTTACTTATATGCACTCTCAGTTTCTTGTTATTAATTAGATACTGGATGATAATCTTTGAACCTATCACATACATTCAGAGGGAGTTTAATAGAAAAAAACAAACATAATATTGAAAATGAATTGTAATCCAATCTCATATAAGTGTCCTCCAAGGTCTAACATGCAACATCCTTATTTTCAAAATCTTTTTTTGAGTAATTGAAATTTATTGAAATAAAGCATGAATGAAGATATTTGCTAGAAAAGCCCAACCAAAAAAAAAAAAAAAAAAAAAAACTCCGTGATAAGGCAATGCATCACTAATGTGATATTATAGAGCAAGTTTCTTAGCATTTCATGGATAGAACCTAAAACCTGAGTTACGTCGACCAGATTTAAAGAAAATCATCATTGGAGACCAGTTCCGCATTGGGGTTCGATTTTTTCTTCTCTTGTTCGTCTGAAGCAAGTGTTGCGGCCTCATTGTATGCTTCTAAATAACTGGCCACAAAATACAAGGTCCAACCAAAAACATATAAATAAAATTAAAAATGAAACAATATATCTGTATCTGCATGTCTATAACATCTAATCCTGAATCCCGAGCCACAAACCAAAATAAACAATTTAATTATTTGAATAATCCTGAATAACAAAAAGTATACAAAAATCTATACACAAGCAAACTAATTGAACTATGAATTTCGCAGGCTAAGGCACAAAAGCAAACTATGAATTTTATCAGACACGGAACATGGTCAAGTGTTGGGAGTAAATAAAATTTCGAGACACGTACGTCTTTAGAAGGATATCCATCAGTGGTCTCTCTTGCATTTATTGCTTCGAACTTCATCGATAAAAACTGCAACAAATGATGATT